CCCCAAAACCCCAAAACCCCAAAACCCCAAAACCCCAAGAATTGTTCAAAAATTGAAAGAGCTGATGTAAGAATTTATGAAGAAATTAAAAATTTGAGTGGAAAACCTGAAGAAAGGAAGTTTATACTGGGGTGAATTTAGTGAGTGGGGAAGAGAGTGAGTGGGAGAGGGTTGGTGGGTTGGAAGGTTAGGAATGGAATTGGTGGGTTGGAGGTTATGGAGATTTTTAGCACCCAAGACTCTGGATTGGTGAAAATTGAAGGGGAAAGTGTAGAAATGGGGTTAGGAGATGGTTTTAGAGTTGAATTAGACGATATTCAGATAGATGGGAAATATCTGTTGAGATTTTTATGTTTTTGAAGTCAAGGCTCTTGGCATACTCTGAAATGCCTTCATTTATTTTGAATATATTGGTTTTCACCTCTTTCAGTGATGATTTGAGATCAGTAAGAGAAGCTGCTTTCATAAAATGTTTGATATCATTTAAAATATCTTCTTCAAATTGGTATTGGCCAAACTGTTCCAAGTTGAAACCAATTGATTTTATTGAGTAATGAAGAGATTTGGTGAGCTTTATTTTTCCAAAAATAATATTACACATTGTAAATCTGATATCCTTTATATGTCTCCCAGCTTGAAGTATCTTCCTTAATTGATTTGGAAATATTTTACAATTTACAAGAGTGAGAGAATGAATTACTTTTGGAATCATCCTTACCACATTCTGATGACAAATAGAGTACTCTTCAACCTTACCAGCATCAAATTTTAAGTTCAGAGAGGATAGTTCTTTAGCTAAAGGCCTTTTAATAAACCTCCTAAAACTTTCTTTATTACTTCTGCTCATACATATAACACTCCCAGACATCTTTCTTCTAATTAGTTTCATCTTTTTCATAAAATATTTTGTTTCTTTCTTCAGCCCTTCACAAAGTATCAACTGATCCTTAGTAATCCTCCTGCTTTTTCCCTTAAAAGAGTACCTATACACATTCCCATACACCTTCTTCTCAATTTCCTCTTCACATTCCCTCACCCACTGCTCATACTCCCTTCTTCTATCACTCATTTCTAAAAATTCTATTACTCCCACCCACTTCGGGGTTTTGGGGTTTTGGGGTTTTGGGGTTTTGGGGTTTTGGGG